GCCCATTAGCTCAGTTGGTTAGAGCGTCGTGCTAATAACGCGAAGGTCGCGGGTTCGATCCCCTCATGGGCCAAGTATTCTTTTTTGCAATTTTCAAATATTTGCAAATATTTACGAAAAAGTTATTTATAGATGTCGAGCTTTATCGCTCGATAACAATTTGTCTTCAGTTTTCCTTATTACGTACATTCTCACATACGTTTACCATTGTATTTCGTGTTTCGTTATTATTTATAACCAACAATTTTCATTATATTCGTTTAAATTTCATAGATTTATATAATCAATATATCATTTACATGCTACCAATTTCGCAATCTCGTGATAAAAGTGATAAGAAACGTTGGTTACGAAACGTTCGTCGCGATAACACGTTCCAATACAAACAGATGTAAACAGATTCATTTAATCTCTTTTATCTAAAGAAACTCGTAAGAAAGATTACATATAAATAAAGCAGATTTGTCGCGAAATAATTCACAATAAGAAGAATGTCATACAAGATTCTCACGCGTGTCCCATAAAATCCAAGCGAGAAATAAAACGAAACGATGATCAGTGGTTCCGATTGCCATAAAGAAAGGCGCCGATAAAATGTCGTCTAATGATATCGTTCAGAGATAGCGAGGTAATAAACAAGGCGCAAAGCCAATTTCGTGGATTTCGTGTAAAAACGTGGAAATGGTTTGAAAGATCATCCGCAAGGGTGAGCACGAGGCCTTCTGAGGACCATTGGTCACGTGGAAGGGGTTGTCGACACGGTGACTGGAATACCGAATATGGGAATTCGTGGTCCGGCAGGAATAAAAACAGGAGTGGAATACGAAGTTTTGGCCTTTTCCCGTGTTACATGCGAATTGTCGCATGATTTCGAGGAACAGAATGGAAAAAGGATATTAAGATTCTTGAAGGATCGATGCATCGAGGTTATTTTTATCAAAATCATATACATCATTACGTTTCTATGAATTTCTGTTAACTTCAGAAATAAAAAAAAAGAAAAAAAATAGAAAGACTTTGAATTAATACAAAAATAGGAATATTTCGTTAATATTCCAACTTTTCTAGATACTAACAAATATATCTTTCCACATCCATTTCTTCTCACCAATTTCTCTTTCTAATTCCGCTCTCAAACTTCTAAATCTCTTCTGAAATTCACTTAACCGAACTTCCGGGAAGCGGGAAGGAAAGAGCTCCGCGACCCATAACGTCGGCATCATCGAGCATACTCGCGAGGCATTTCAATGATCCGAGGTCCGAGCCGACCCCTGTCACCGTTAAGCACTCAATCAAGCCCCGGCCGGGTGCTCGGAGCGAGAAACAATGCTCGTTCACTGCACGCCCGCGAACGAAATCTCGAAGCACGGCGTGGGCGTCGCGCTTGATGATACGCAACCGCGCAGGGCCTGATCCGCGACGACGGGCGGACGTCGAGAGGTGGACGGGACACAGAGCGGGCGCAAGAACTTCCCTTCCCCACGCTCGACCCCCTGTAATCACGGCCTCATTAGTCCTCCGCCGGCGGATAAATTACCGCCGATGGTGGAAGGGGGCCGCATTGTTTCGCGTAAGTGGGCATCCACGGGGATCGTGCGCGCGGGTTGGATCGGTTTCGAGAAAGGCGGCGTTGGTAAGCAGCCGTTGGATCGGCCGATTCACGGGACGGGAGAAAAGAGGAGGAGGACGCGACGGTGGAGAGAATTCCTCGTGTCTTCTCGGGCTTGAAACCCGAACGACCGTAATCTTGGGCTATCTAACGTTGTAAACGTAGCGAGGTGATGATTTGCGACCTCCCCGCGGAGAACGTGGCTCGAAGGAAGAAACGTTGGAAGATCCTCTCTCTCTCTCTCTCTCTCTTTCATTTCCTTTTCTCTTTCTTTTTCTCTTTCTCCTTCTCTCCATCGACCCCTTTAGATTCAATTTCGCGGGGCGTCAGCCCGCTGACGCGACGTCCGCCCACCTTCCTGCGGGACGTTGATGTACGATACGGTGCACCGGGTCCGACGCGTGAAACTTGGGGGAGAATCGCGCGAGCGTGAATTGTTTTTTCGACCCGTGAAACGGTTTGCAAAGTAACCGTGGAGTAACTTTCTTCTTCTTTTTTTTTTTTTTTCTTTGTTTTTTTTTTTTCTTTGAAAGTTGGTTGGCAGGAGATTGAAGGGAGAATGAGGAATGGGATGGAGATGAAGCGTCGTTTTGAAAATGTTTAAACGGGCTGGAAATTTTTGGGGAATGTGAATTTGGGAATTGGGAATCGAAAGTGGAGTAATTTCATTGAATTTATTAGATATTGCGAAATATAGGTGTATCGTATTGTCTGAGAGTGTCATTATTTATTATTAGAGGTGATGTAACGCGTATCGATTTTCTAAAAATATAATCTGTATAAATATTGAATTTAATAAGTAATATTTCACGAGATTCTAAAACACCATTCTCTGAATGAGATCATAGGTTTTATTTGCTTTCTCGTTCACTCGTTTATTGCCTCCGTTCACAGTCGACCTATTTGCCCAAACGTTCACCGGAGCGTATCGATCTTCTCAAAAATTTCGCCTTCATCTCTCAAATGTTTGATCAAACAGCGTTGCTCTCTCGAGATAGCAATACTAGGAATACCTGAACCGACGAGCGTACACTCTGGCGCGCTAATTAAGACACGGACAGGCTAGCAAGAGTTGCAATAGTAACTCTAGCCGTGAGAAAGACGCATCCCCGTGTATGTTTTATAATTTACATTTCGCAAGGTGCACGGGAGCGAAACACGTCCGCGATCATACGCGCTTCAAGCTTGATTTCTACCAGTGCTCGAGGAAAGCCAAGATATTTAAGTGGAAATCACGTTTAGAAAGTTGTTTTAACGCGCGTTTTGTACCGCAAAGAACTACATTTTGATGGAGATTTGAAAAAAGATTGGCATTTTGACTTTTAGCGATTACTGAAAATTGTTGAATTTTTATTGAAACAATTCCATACACGAACAAAATGGAAACTGTATAATTAATAAAATGTGTGAATTTTTATATAGGTAAAATTTGTTCAAATATTCAACTAATATATATAAAGCATGTAATATGATATAAAACGTGCATTAAATTTACATTATAGTTATAGATTATTATAACCAAGCAGGATCAAAAATAAAACTTCGAGTTTTCATGTAAAAAAAGTAAGAAAAAAATTAAAAATATTATCGTCATTATCTACTCAAGAGATAAAAGAAGTTATGCCATTGAATTCATTTTTTCTTTTATCCCGATATCTCAATCGGTTGCTGAGATATAACGATTCAAAGTTTTCGTAATGATTAACATAGCACGATTTATATTTTTTTCTGGAACTAGTATTCAATTACATTTACGTCACATAAGTATCACGTTTATCGTCACGTCTGATACTCGTACAATGTACGAGTGAGAGATCCTAGTAAATAACAAAGATAGAAATAGTAAATCATTAAAAATTACTCTTTTCTTTACACGACGATATCTCCAGAACCGGAAGTCATATCGAGACAAATGAAAAAAGGTTTTAAAGGGTAAGATTCCACGCTTCCATAGTCGTTGATTCGTCGATATAAAGTTACTATTTTCAGAATTATAGAACCTCAAAGTTTTCCTAATTTTAATAGAATTTAATCGAGTTCAAGATAAATGATAGAAAATTATTTTCTCTTTACACGATGATATCTCAAGAACCGGAAATCGTATCGAGACAAATGAAAAAAGATTTTAAAGAGAAAAATTCTATGCTTCTAATGATCTTCTTTTGATTGATCAAGAATTATTATTTTCGGAATTATATCGGTTTAAATACACGACAAATAACAAAAAAATTAAATTGTCTGTTTTTTCTGATATCCAAAATCCAATATTGCGAAATTTGATCCTGATCGAATTTCAATTCTCGATAAAACTGAAAACTATGTAAATACGAAGTTATCTCAATCAATATTTTATTCTAATCTACATCTAAACGATCCATAATATATAATTATAAAATTATTATTCACTCCGCGAGGATGATACAAACAGGATGCATCCATTTTTCCGAAAAACAAACTATCGAGAAAAAAAAAGAAAAAGGTAAGAAACCAATATCCCTCGAAGCTACACCTTCTCGCCACAAACCCTCCACTTTCCATCCAACCACCTTAACCAATCACTCCCGAGCGAATCATTAACAAGGTTCGAATTAATTAGAAATTCAAATCGCGACGTAACCCTCATAAAGAAAGCGGATACCACAACGTATACATCGCTCGAATAAATGGGGGAGAGGAGGGAAAAAAATGGAAGAAAAATGGAAGATCGCGCCTGAACCACGCGGCACGTTTTTTATAAGCGAGGTGATTCCGGGGCGCGCGAGGGCTCGTCATTTACAAGCGGCTCAAGCGGTCCATCATAAATTTGGCTTCCTATCGCCGGCCGGGATCGTATTTATCTAACAAATAATTATTCCCGATTATCTCGCGGCCTGATGCATGCGTTGGCAAACAGAGATCAAAGATACGGTCGGCCGACATCACCGTGGGCCTTTGTTTAACGCTTGAGCCAAGCCGAAAGGCACCGGTCAACAATTTTCGCCTTTATTTACGACGTGGCGCTGCCTCGCCACGCAGCCAACCTCGCGCGGCCACACCACGCTCGCGTGGGTGTTGATGCAAGGGTTGACCGCCTATTACCGA